TGTTTATTTATTTATTTATTTATTATGGTTGTTATTTAACTATTTATTTATAATTATTTTTATTTGTTTATTTACGATTTTATTTATTTATTTATTTATAGGCTATTACAGCCGGTGACAAGTATCATGCGAAGAAGGAGGGACATGTGTCAAGCATCTAATGACGGGAGAAAATTCAATGAAATACAGGAATTGAAGGCCTGGAGTCAGAACTTAAGGAAATTACTCTCTTCTATCCCTAAAAATGGGTAGGAGTGAATTTCATTTTGCACCCCACGTCTTCAGCCATTTACCCAGTCTTACCCTTGAAATGGGAGGCCTATTGAGTCGGCGTACTTGAGCCACTCTCACTCATGCAAATTTAAGGATAATTATGAATAAACAGGAGTTCATGGTTAGGTCAGAATTAAGATCAAGTTACCTAGGTCATCGAATGTAAAAAAAAATCAGTCTCAACAGTAAACGACATTATAAAATGAGATGATTTTCTTCATGGTTCGATCTTATGCAATACTCATTGCATAGGACGCTCTCACTCACATGTCTCTGCATGTATAATTTAGTGATCACATTGTTTATGTCATATACAAAAGTGGGTCACATCCATAGTGTCGTCAAGACAAGGTATTCAGCCTTATCCGTGTACTATAGATCATTTTGACTATATACTTGAACTTGATCCACTCTTATGTCTCTACATATAGTTCAAGTAATCATACTATAGTCAGAGTGTTCTTAGTTTATTGGATTTAGATTAATAATCGTAAAATTCACTTTATTCAATAATCATCTTTACTAAATAAACATCAATAATAACTTTATTGAAAATAGAATATGTTTTTGTTTACAAACTATGAGTTTTAGGACATAAAATCCAACAAGAGGGAGGTACCGCCTCTCCAACCACGAGGAGTCTGGTTTCGGTCGAGCCTTCTTCATGAAATCTTAACCAAACCTAGAGAAGAACATTCTTGACTCTTAAATTGTAATGACTGATCTTCGAAAAATACCGAATCACGGGTCGCCACGTGGACTCAGGAGTAAAAAAAAAACTTTTCAACACTTCATGTAGTTTGAACAGGGGACAATAAAGTTGTCTGATATACATTTCAAAAAAAAAAAAAATATAAAACACGTAACGAAGATCTGTGGGGTCACATAAAATCACGATTACAAAATATAGCAGGTTTTCAAAAACGTCAAAAATCATAACCAAAACGACATGGGAGAAGAGGACTCAATCTAAGGGGCCCCCCTTCTGCAGTTGCATGGCTCCACACATCCCCGGCACCGACCCAGATCTACTTTTCTTCTGAAAAATAGCAAACAACACAGAGTGAGTATACAAACAATACCAAGTAAGCAACTTGCTCGTAAGCTCTAGTCGATCTTAGCCCTATTCACGGGATTCTAAGTCCTGAGCTCGAATAGTCACCAATTAGAGACCTAGGGGTGCCTGGCAACATTCAACTGTTTCTAAGATCAGTAACTACCTATTCACGGGATTTGGATTTTGTCCTAAAACAAAGCACTACAAAGTAGTAAGAAACTCCACCATCAAGGATAGAAACTCCACCGCCAACTACAAATCAGAGATTTTTGCTTTTGGGACCCGGCAGGAATGGACGCGTATTGAGTCACCGTCCTATTCTTTTAATGGATGTCATGTTGTTTACTTGAATGGAGAGTTGCATTGGGTTGTACAAGATGATCTTCATCACGATGTTATTTATCGTCTAAATATGGAAGATGAGAAGTACGAGCAGATTCCTTTTCCTAATGATGACAATTATTTTCCTTGTATTGGAGTATTTAATGGTGTTATTCATCTAACTCTTTCTATGGAGGGGCACGAGTACACGATGTGGAAGATGAAAGAAGATGGTTCGTGGATTAAAGTATTTAGTGTCATCGTACCAGATGTGAGCAAAAATATTCTTTCTTTTTCAAAATCAACTGTGGAACAAATTAAAATATGTAAAGATGGAAAGATCTTGTTTGTTTGAGCAGGAGCTGAATTAGTGTTGTATGATCCGAAGACAGAGAAGATGGAGAAGTTAATGGATGATATAATTGCGAGAGATTTTTCCGTTCACAAGATCGACTACTTTAATTGTGAACTACTTTAATTTTAATGCTCTTACTACTATTTTGACCGGAAAAATATGTAAATTTTGAATATGATTTGTATTGATATTGAGATTGATTTTTTTTTTTTTTAAATATGAGTTTTAATTTAAGTTTAGTCCTAAGTTTTTGTTGGTAATTAGAGAAAAAGGGTACTGCATTAAAATTGTATAATAAATTAATTTATGAATAGTTTAATTTATTTTATTTTTATGAAAATTTGATTAAGAAATACACCTAATTATTAAAATTAGATAAATAAAATCAAGGCATATTATTAATAAATAAATTAGTTTAATTAGTTTAATAATTTAATATAATAAAAATAAAATAATTAACTATCATTAATTATTTAAAATTAAACCATAATAAAAATATTATAAATATAGTAAATTTAAATTTGTAAAATTTTGATATGAATTATTTGACCATCTTATCTATTTTTTTAATTAAATATTTTAAATAAAATATTCCTAAATATCTTATCTTTTTTCAAAACTAAATATAATTTGAGATAAAAGAATATTGGGATTAGATTTTCAAAATTTTGAAATAGTTAAAAATATAATTTAAAAATTGTGTTTAAAATAGGAAATAAAATATTCATTAAAACTAAAATAAATTTTACCCAAATTAAAATAAAATAAAATAAAATATTTATTTTTAATTTGATAAAACTTAAAAGATTTTAAGTTATTATTTTAACTTTTATATATTTTATAATTTTTATTAAATCAAGGTAATCTAATTTTTTTATATATAAAAATGAACCGTTATCTAATTTTTATTAAATTTGTTAATCGTAAAAAGAAAATGAATAAATAAATATATTAAATTGAGGTAATCATACAATTCAAGTGGTTTTAGATTTTTATTTTAGAAAAAAAAATTATAAATTATTTAATTATTTAATTGATTTTATTTTTTTAGTTGATGGATGGAATTTTGTTTTAAATATGAGTTATTTAGTTATGATAATTAGAGGGAAAAAACAAATTGTATACTAAATTAATTTATTAATTTATTTTATTTTTATCATAATTTGATTACCCAATACAAGTAATTATTAAAATTAGTTATTAATGATATTTTTTTGTTAATAATAAAAAAATTAATTAATTTAATAATTTGATATAATAAAAATTAAATAATTAATAACTCTAAAATTAAATCATAATAAAAATATTAGGTAACGAATATCAATTATTTGATTTTTAGATTTTTAGGTATTTTAGATATTTTATTTTTAAATATTTTATTGTCAAATATATTATATAAATTATTTAATTAGTTAAATGGACCTATTTAAAATTAATTTAAAAATTAAATAGATAAAAGAATATTGGAATTGGATATTCAAAATTTTAAAATTCAAAACAAGCTCGAGATTTATGTTTCTATAATTTTAAATCGAAATTAAAATGAATTATTTATAAAAAAAAAATGCAACTGTTATTTAATTTTTATTAAAATTCATTAAGATGGAAAACAAAATCAATAGTTAATAAATATATTAAATTAACAAAATCTTTTATGAATTTAAATTATGACAATAAAAAAAATATAAAGAGCTGGCTGACCTCGAATACGTTGTTATATTATATCGCACGACAAGATAAATGAGTACTTTGAACTCCCAAAAGACAAATTCAAAGAGAATGATATGATCTTAAGTTCTAAACATGACCTTTAATCTCGGCTACTTCCAACTTCTTGCTTGCCCATGTTTATTCCAACTGATCGTCACTCGTTTCGTAATCTTCATTGCTTGGAATTGGATCCCGACCACGTGGAAGGGGTGAGGAGTATTGCTTCATTCAACTTGAGTCGTAAGTATTTCCGAAGTTTTTTTTATCTCAACTCTTAATTCGTGCAATGGACTCTTGGCTTTTGTGTTCACTAATCCCGAATTCGTCCTATTAAATCCCATTACGAAGGAGTATTTTGAACTTACAAAAGACGAATTCAAAGTGAATTGGCTTACCTGCTCCCGTGGATTTGGATTTTGTCATAAAACAAAGCACTACAAAGTAGTAAGAAACTCCACATTTAGAGCCGTGTTAATTATTTTATTTTTATTTTATCAAAATTTTCTTTTGTTCAATTATTGATAAAAATAAAAATAATTAAATTATTATTAATTTAACATAATCTATAAAAATTAAATTAGGTTTTTTTTTTGAATAAAAACTAAATCTATTTTTATTGTCGCCATTTAAATTCATAAAATATTTACGTTAATTTAATATATTTATTAACTATTGATTTTGCAACGTATTTCTTTATATAAATAATTTATAGATATATAAAAACTAAAATAATAATTTAGAAAATTTTTATTCTATTTTTATTATAAAAAACTTAAATCCCTCACTCTTTTTGAATTTTAATTTAGGTAAAATTTATTTTAGTTTTAATGAAAGTTTTATTTCCTATTCTTTTAATATAATTTCTAAATTATATTTTAACTATTTCAAAATTTTGAAAATCGAATTTCAATATTCTTTTATTATTTAATTTTCAAATTAATTTTAAATATGTTATTGTTTAAATATTTTATATAATATATTTGAGAATAAGATATTTAAAAATAAAATATTTAAGATACCTAAAAATCAAATAATTGATATTTCACTATTTATATTATTTTTATTAGGGTTTAATTTTAAACCATTAGTTATTAATTATTTTTTATTTATTAATAAATATATCATTAATATCCAATTTTAATAATTACTTGTATTTCCTCGTCAAATTTTCATAAAAATAAAATAAAATAAATATAAATTAATTTATTATACAAGTCTACCTCCATCAAATCTAAATAACTCATATTTAAAATAAAATTGCATTTTTAAATTTCAATTACTCGTTCAAAATTTACAAAACTTTCCTGTTAAAATATCACGAAGAGCACTAAAATTGAAGCAATCAATGTTGTGAACGGAAAAATACCTCACAATTGTATCCTCCATCAGCTTCTCCATCGTTTCCGTCTTCGGATCATACAACACAAATTGAGCTCCAGCCCAAACACACAAGATCTTCCCATCTTTACATGTTTTAATCTGTTCAACCGTTGATTTTGAAAAAGAAATAATATTTTTTGTTGGTACGATGACACTAAACGATTTAATCCACGAACCATCTCCTTCCATCTTCCATATTCTGTATTCGTACTCCTCCATGGAAATAGTGAGATGAAGAGCGCCATTAAATACTCCAATATAAGGAAAATAACCATCATGATTAGGAAAAGGAATTTGCTTGTACTTCTCATCTTCCATATTTAGACGATAAATGACATTATAACCAAGATCATTTTGTCCAATCCAATGCAGCCCTCCATTCAAGTAAGCACCATGACATCCATGAAAAGAACAGGACGGCGACTCAATACGCGTCCATTCCTGCCGGGTTCCGAAAGCAAAAATCTCTGATTTGTAATTGCTATGGACGGTGGAGTTTCTATCATCGACGGTGGAGTTTCTTACTACTTTGTACTGCTTTGTTCTAGGACAAAATCCAAATCCATAGGAACAGTTAAGCCGTTTCCGTTTGAATTCGTCTTTGGGGAGTTCAAGGTACTCATTGGTCATGGGGTTAAATATGACGACCGTATTCGGAGTCAGCCATCTCTTTGTGTTTTTGGTGACTACAAAAGCTAAGAGTCCATTGCACGAATTAATAGTTGAGATAAAAGAATGTTGGAAATACTTACGATGCAAGTTGAGTGAAGCAACACTCCTCACCCCTTTCACGTGGTCGGGATCCAATTCCAAACAATGGAGATCACGAAACGAGGGACAATCACGGCGGTTGGAATAAACATGGGCAAGCAAGAAATTGGAATCAGCTGAGATTGAAAGGTCATATTTAGAACTTAAAATCACATTGTTCCATGTTTTGCAGACCAACCTGCAGCTCGGCAAATAATAGTAAGGGAGTTTGCTGAGTATTAACTCGACGACATCATGTATGAGTTCGGGAATTTTGTTGCTAATAATGTCTTGATCATTAGCCATCACTAGAAAAAGCAAGTGAATTTGATTGAACGAAAGAGTTAAACGAGTGGCAGATGAATAGTTACTTGACTAAACTTTAATGGAAGGTCGTGTATTTATAAAGTAAAAAATTAATCTTTTCCTATTTTGAATTTATAAATTAAAAATAAAAATAAAATAAATCTGTTTACTTTTATTTGATGGTATAAAATTTATTTTTAACTTAATCGAATTTTTTCAAATCCCAAATTCTTTTTATCTCAAATTGAAATTTATTTTAAATTGTTTATTTAATTTTAGAACTTAGTATTTGTTCTTTTTATTAATTTAAAAAATTATATTTATCGTTAACTATTCAATAATTTAAAATATTTTAAATCTGTTTATTTAATTTTAAGAATTTAAAATAAAATATTCTAAAACCATTCTTTTCTTTTTTTTCTTTTATTCCGCTAAAAAATTATTATTTTTTATAATTGTTTCTTATTCTCATGATATTTTGTCGGCTTTTCTGAACTTATTTAAATGTAGTCATCTTACTTTTGGTCAAGATAACTCGACTCATAATGTTTGTCTTCGTTCGACGACTATCTTCATTTTCGTTCGTCTGGTGTGTTAAGGATATTTAGTCTTAAATTATAGTTTATTATATGTGATATTTTATTATAGACAAATATCGAAGTATCGTACTTGTCTTTTATTACAAGCTCTTTCCATTTATTGTTATTTACATATTATTTGTAATTTATTTGATTCGACAAAAGATTATAAATAGAAAACTTTCTCCACCATTTAAGTGTGGTGGTTTAAGTAAACATTCTCGGTGACTATCTCTATTTTCGTTCGTCCTCCTCTAATTCAAAAACATGCAAGTCTCTTTTATATATTTGTATGTTTTTGAATTAGAAGAGGACGAATGAAAATAGAGATAGCGGCCGTGAAAATGTTCGTGAAAGTTTTCTATTTATAATTCTTTATAAAATCAAATAAATTATAAATAATATGAAAATAACAATAAATGGAAAGAGCCGATAATAAAAAGGCAATATATAGATATTTGCATATAATAAAATATCAAACATAATATATATGGTAAACTATAATTCAATACTAAATATTTTTAACACGTCGAATGAACGAAAATGGAGATAGTCGTTGGACAAATACAAACGCTACGAGTCGAGTTATCTTAACCAATAAAATAACTACATTTAAATAAATTTAGAAAATCCAATAAAGTAACCTAAAGACAGCATGTGTTCGCACGTATACGAAGAAACTCGACTCAAAATTCGTAACTTCATCTCCCTTACCTGAGAAACCACGAAAAACCCTAATCTCGAACTCCCTTTTCTGTTTACGGACTATTTTTCGCCCCTCGTCGATATAACACTCTTATTGATAAAAGAAAATATATAGAAAAGATAAGGTGAAGTAAAACATACACACATTTTCCATGTTGTATTCACTAATAGCTTTCTTCGTATGCTCTCGAAGATATGATCTGTATAAACGTTCCTCCCATACAGGTACAATGAATTACCGTACAAATTAAACCCTAATCCTAAATAGCTAATATGGAAAGGTTACTATAACATTTCTCTTTTTATTTTAGAAAGCCAATTTGTAAAATAAGATAAAAGATTTATTATTATTATTATTGAGTTTTGTACCTCTCGATAAGTTTGAAAAAAATAAAGGCATGTCGAAAAGGAGGGAGAGCCCATACTTATAAGGCAAGTCATCTGAAAGTTAAAAACAGGCACGACTATTGTAATGTAACGTTCGAACAAGGATTCTGGAAGGCTCGAATTAGCAGAATTTTCACGTATATCCTCAAAATCACTTCAAAAAAATTTTCAAATCACTGTCGAAACAGAAAACCCTTATCCATGTCCAAAAATTCTAACTCTCTTCTTAAGAATTAGAGTTTCAAGTTTCGGATTTCGGGTTTTGGATTTTAGAGTTTAGGGTTTAGTGTCTTTGTGCAAAAGTTTTCTATTTATAAATTTATAAGTTGGGTGAAATAAATAAAAATTAGAAAAATAATATTTAATTATGAAAATTTCATATTTAATTTTATTAGGATAAAATAACATTTGCTATTTTATTATTATTATTATCAATAGTGTTAGTAGGATAAAATTATTATTATTATTGTTATTATTATTATTATTATTATTATTATTTGACTATTACATTTGCTATTTTATCCTACTAACACTATTGATACAGTCCAGAACTGATCCAACCCGAATTATAGGAGTTGGGTTGAGTTGGATTAACATTTTGAGTTGGGTTAATTTTTTGAAACATTATAAAGATTTCGAATTCATTAGAAAAAATTTCGATGGACCGAAACCAAACAAAATCTTATAAAATCTTATAAAATAGATTGTGTGAGTAGGTCCAAAATGATAATTGGGTGGTACTAATCATCCAAGTTTGATTATAGCCTTATACACTACCTTTAAGTTTTATTTTAATTTTAGGTATACTTTTTTTTTATATTATTTTATTTAATTTTTATATCATTTCTATTTCATAAACTCCTTATAAAAAAAAAATTACCTCAATATTTTATATAATAAGAATAAATCTAATTTTAATTTTAAACATATAATTTATGCAAACATTTAAATTATTTTGGAGTAAAAATATATTGGTAAAAAGTAAAAATTACATCATCTTAGCTCTATTTTAAATACGGAATTCTAAAAAAAAAATTTGCCTAAAATGTTTTAATTAACTCCTTTAATATATTTTTAGATCAATCTTTAGTATAGATGATAAAATTTTTAATTATTTTTTTCTTCCGTCGAGTAAATAATTTTAATTACAGCCTACCGTACATTATTATATTTTATTTAGTTAAAAAAAATTGGTTTAAGGAAAAGATATTTTCCCACAAATGTTTTTCGATCAAACCTTGTAACACTCATCTCGACGATAGCAAAGAGACCGACAATAAAAAAAAATCGTAAGAATATTGTTCTGATTCGTATTATTATTGTAAAGAATGAGATAGAAAATAGAATTGGAAAGATATTTATTATCATTGATATTGATATGTTTAAATAGGATATAAAGAAGTACAAACGAGGAAAATATAAAATAATTAAATACTATATCTCAACTATTATCATTGATATTGCCTGTTTTTCACTTTCAAATGACTTGCCTTATAAGTATGGGCTCTCCCTCCTTTTCGACATGCCTTTATTTTTTTCAAACTTATCGAGAGGTACAAAACTCAATAATAATAATAATAAATCTTTTATCTTATTTTACAAATTGGCTTTCTAAAATAAAAAGAGAAATGTTATAGTAACCTTTCCATATTAGCTATTTAGGATTAGGGTTTAATTTGTACGGTAATTCATTGTACCTGTATGGGAGGAACGTTTATACAGATCATATCTTCGAGAGCATACGAAGAAAGCTATTAGTGAATACAACATGGAAAATGTGTGTATGTTTTACTTCACCTTATCTTTTCTATATATTTTCTTTTATCAATAAGAGTGTTATATCGACGAGGGGCGAAAAATAGTCAGTAAACAGAAAAGGGAGTTCGAGATTAGGGTTTTTCGTGGTTTCTCAGGTAAGGGAGATGAAGTTACGAATTTTGAGTCGAGTTTCTTCGTATACCTGCGAACACACGCTGTCTTTAGGTTACTTTATTGGATTTTCTAAATTTATTTAAATGTAGTTATTTTATTGGTTAAGATAACTCGACTCGTAGCGTTTGTATTTGTCCGACGGCTATCTCCATTTTCGTTCATTCGACGTGTTAAAAATATTTAGTATTGAATTATAGTTTACCATATATATTATGTTTGATATTTTATTATATGCAAATATCTATATATTGCCTTTTTATTATCGGCTCTTTCCATTTATTGTTATTTTCATATTATTTATAATTTATTTGATTTTATAAAGAATTATAAATAGAAAACTTTCACGAACATTTTCACGGCCGCTATCTCTATTTTCATTCGTTCTCTTCTAATTCAAAAACATACAAATATATAAAAGAGACTTACTTGCATGTTTTTGAATTAGAGGAGGACGAACGAAAATAGAGATAGTCACCGAGAATGTTTACTTAAACCACCACACTTAAATGGTGGAGAAAGTTTTCTATTTATAATCTTTTGTCGAATCAAATAAATTACAAATAATATGTAAATAACAATAAATGGAAAGAGCTTGTAATAAAAGACAAGTACGATACTTCGATATTTGTCTATAATAAAATATCACATATAATAAACTATAATTTAAGACTAAATATCCTTAACACGCCAGACGAACGAAAATGAAGATAGTCGTCGAACGAAGACAAACATTATGAGTCGAGTTATCTTGACCAAAAGTAAGATGACTACATTTAAATAAGTTCAAAAAAGCCAACAAAATATCATGAGAATAAGAAACAATTATAAAAAATAATAATTTTTTAGCGGAATAAAAGAAAAAAAAGAAAAGAATGGTTTTAGAATATTTTATTTTAAATTCTTAAAATTAAATAAACAGATTTAAAATATTTTAAATTATTGAATAGTTAACGATAAATATAATTTTTTAAATTAATAAAAAGAACAAATACTAGAGTTCTAAAATTAAATAAACAATTTAAAATAAATTTCAATTTGAGATAAAAAGAATTTGGGATTTGAAAAAATTCGATCAAAAATAAATTTTATACCATCAAATAAAAGTAAACAGATTTATTTTATTTTTATTTTTAATTTATAAATTCAAAATAGGAAAAGATTAATTTTTTACTTTATAAATACACGACCTTCCATTAAAGTTTAGTCAAGTAACTATTCATCTGCCACTCGTTTAACTCTTTCGTTCAATCAAATTCACCTGCTTTTTCTAGTGATGGCTAATGATCAAGACATTATTAGCAACAAAATTCCCGAACTCATACATGATGTCGTTGAGTTAATACTCAGCAAACTCCCTTACTATTATTTGCCGAGCTGCAGGTTGGTCTGCAAAACATG